CTCAGTCCGTTGAACATCCGACTTCGGCTCAGGTCATGATCTCGCAGTTTGTGAGTTCGAGCCCTGTGTCAGGTTCTGTGCTGACAGCTCAGAGCCTGGAGCCTGTTTTGGATTCTGTGTCTCCTTCTTTCTCTGCCCCTCCCCCCTCAAAATTAAAAAATATATATATTTTTTAATTAAAATTAGGGGCGCCTGGGTGGCTCAGTCATTTAAGCAGCTGACTTCAGCTCAGGCCGTGATCCCATGGTTCGTGAGTTCGAGCCCCACATCGGGCTCTGTCCTGACAGCTCGGAGCCTGGAGCCTGCTTCTGATTCTGCATCTCCTCTCTCTCTGTTCCTCCCCCATTTATGCGCCCTCTTTCTCCCTCTCTCAAAAATAAATAAACATTAAAAAAAATGTCAAGGTCACGAACATCAAGTTAAGACGGAGAACTGTTCCAGACCGAAAGAGGCTAAGGAGACATGACAACTACATGCATGTAGTTCCCAACTACGTGGGAAGACTCTTTTGCCATAACGGAATTATCGGGACAAGTGCTGAGACCTGAGTGGAGTCTCTAAACAAGATGCTAGCATGTTTCTTTGCTAATTTCCTAGGTGTGATGGTTGTACTGTCATTATGTAGAATGTCCTTGCATGTAATAATGAGACCCTTTCTATAAAACATTTGGAAGTGACAGGGACTGTGGTGGCAACTTACACTCAAATGATTCAGGGGCAAAAAGTTATTTGTTAAAAAAGTCCTGCTGGGATTTTGATTAGTGCTATTTTTAAATTCCTGGGTTATCTGAGACTGTGTTTCTCAGTTAAAAGCAAAGAAACAAACCTTACAGCATCTCTTAATGAATACACAGTTCTCATCCCCAATTTTCTCATATGTGCCCCTTTTGCACATTAATTGCTATTTTCCGTGTATCTGAAGTTTCTGTTACTAGAACATTTTTTGTTCATAAAATAGAGCAAGGGTCAGCAAACTTTTTCTGTAAAGGGCAGATACTAAATATTTTAAACTCTGTAGGTCATGATGAGGTCTCTGCCTTGTAGTGCAAATGCAGCACAAATGGACATGTCTGCTTTCTAATTAAACTTTATTTATGAAAGCACATGGGTGGGCCAGATTTGACCGTGAACTGCCCATGTCTGAATCAGAATATAATGCCTTTTAAAAAAAATGTCCATATCCTTTGCCCCACTTTTAGGAATTTATTTAGCTAGAAGACTGGAAACTGCCTACATCTACAGTTAACAGAGAATTAGTGGTATAATATACAGCACCTGAGGATATTGGAAAACTATTTTATCTTTAAAATAATGTTGTAGGGACACCCGGGTGGCTCAGTCAGTTAAGCATCCAATTTCGGCTCTGGTCACGATCTCACGGTTTGTGAGTCTGAGCCCCACATTGGGCTCTCTGCTGGCAAAGCAGAGCCCGCTTCAGATCCTCTGTCCCCCTCTCTCTTTCTACCCCTTCCCCACTCGTGCTCGCTCGCTCTTTTAAAAATAAATTAAGGGGCGCCTGGGTGGCGCAGTCGGTTAAGCGTCCGACTTCAGCCAGGTCACGATCTCACGGTCCGTGAGTTCGAGCCCCGCGTCGGGCTCTGGGCTGATGGCTCGGAGCCTGGAGCCTGTTTCCGATTCTGTGTCTCCCTCTCTCTCTGCCCCTCCCCCGTTCATGCTCTGTCTCTCTCTGTCCCAAAAATAAATAAACGCTGAAAAAAAAAAAAATTTTTTTAAAAAAATAAAAATAAATTAAAACTGGGGCATCTGGGTGGCTCAGTCGGTTAAGCAACTGACTTCGGCTCAGGTCATGATCTCATGGTTTGTGTGTTCAAGCCCCGCGTCGGGCTCTGTGCTGACAGCTCAGAGCCTGGAGCCTGCTTTGGATTCTTTGTCTCCCTCTCTCTCTGTTCCTCCCTTGCTCGTTCTCTGTCTCTCAAAAATAAACAAACGTTAAAAAAATTTTAAAAAAATTTAAAACTTTAAAAAATATTTTAAAAATAATAAAATATAAAATAATGTTGTACCTAAATCTATGCACATTTGCATGATTATGTCCTTAGGAAGACCTAGGTTTAAGCCCTGCCTCCATCAATCTCAAGATCTGGGACCTCAGGGAACGGAGGGGAGGTACTGCCAAGGATGTGTGCACCTGAGCGGGTATCAACTCAGTTCCTCTGTACGGCAGATCTGATGATGAAACCTCATAGATATTATAATAAGTAAATTAAACAGTTTAAAGAAAATCACTTGACAATACAGAATGTGCCAGAAGGGAGGAGGCACTGTAAGGCAGACCTCAGATTTCCTCCTGTGTGACTCCCATGTCCACAGGTCAAACTCAAGGGCACTCCTTTTCCACCCAGGAAGAGGACACAACTCCCTACTCTCACTGACGGTGATGCCTTGGTTCTCTCTCTCTAGACAACTGCATGATAAGTTCCTCAATGGCAGGAGCTGTTTTCTTGCATTAAGAAAAATCCTTGTCCTCAATTTTAATTGTAGCACCTGCCACTGAGACCCAGCAAGTCAAAGTGAAAAGCAGAAAAGAGCGTGGGGTTTGAAGTCAGAACTTCAAGCTGAATCCTGGTTCTTGTCACCTATGCCCCATGAGCTACTGGATACTTCCTAACCTCCCTGAGTTCCAGGTTCTCCATCTGCAGCACAGGCACCATCTCTGGCCCTTAGCAGGCACACACAGAGAATAAAACCAACTCACACAGAGCCAAAGAGATTCCAGAGTAATACACCACCTTAATAAAAGCCCCCAATAAGAACATTCTTGTTGAAGTTCTTAGCATCACAGATGAATCTAGCCTAAGAGTTCCTGCCATCAAGCTGGCCTGTGTCTCCCTATTTTTTTTCTTGTCATTAACAATGACCAGAATTTTCTTTCTTTACATCAAATTCTATGGTTCTGAATGAAATTCGTTTCACTCTTGTACCGTTCTGAGTATGTAGTTCCATAATAAAAAAAAAAAACGAACTTTACTATTAAAAAGTATATATCTGCCCCCTACCCATCCTCCAAAAGAGACTCCCTGAAAGAAAAACTGGACCACAATATAGGTATAGGGACATCTCGGCTTATTTCTAAGGATGAGCTGTACGTAGCCCTATGAACTGAAGAGAGCCCATTTGCCGGCCCAAATGGCCACTTCCTGCCCACCCCAGACGGTGCTGAATCCTAGCACTCAGGTCAAAGTGGGAAATGCATCAGCACCATCTTCCAGAGCAAGCCCAGGGGGAACGGAGTGTCAGCCATTCAGTGTGAAGGAGAGGGAGGCAGGTGCAGAGGGTGAGTGCGGTACCTGAGTAGGCGTCGGCTCAGCCGCCTGGATCTGAAAGTTCTGGGAGGGCTTCTGGGGGACGGTGGGGAGGGTGGCAGATGCCGCCTGCACCACCCGCAGGGCCTGCTGGGGGATCTGCACCACCTGCTGCTGCTCAGCCTTGGGGGGCACCACCTGGACCTGCTGGACCACGGCTGGCTGGCCCCCACCAGGGCTCTGAACAATGAGCAGGTTGTTTCCTGCCTGGATGATGTTGTCCGCAGTGGTCTCGATCAGCACCGTCTCCACCTGCTCAGCCACAGCCACGGGGGGCTGGGAGGCAGGCAGACTCTTCTTCCGGGCTTTCTTGTTAGTCTTAGACAGTGGTGTGGGGGGGCTCTCCGTGAGGAGCTGAGCGGTGGCCCCGGAGTCACTGGTGTTCACGAGGTTGTTGACGGGCAGCGTGAGCGTCACATTACCGCCCCCACCTGTCAGCTTCACCACATTGGCGCCGCTCTGCACAGGAGTGGTAGTCGTACTTGACTTCTGGACGGGGGCTGGCTTGATGGGGACAGGCTTGTGACTGGACGGTGAGGGGGTGATGATGGCTTGGCTGGTGCCGGGGATGATCTGGATCTGGTTGGTGAGACTGGGCTGTACCTGGATGGTCTGGGAATTGCTCGCCTGGATCTGAGGGACCGCCTGGTATTGGATATTGGCATTTGACCGGGTCCCTTTGTTGATCACAGTGGGGTTCTGGATAGCGAACACCAGCTGCCCCCCAGGATAGGACGCACTCAGTTGTGACCCCTGAATCTGAAGGATGTTTCCTTTGGAGGACAAGATTCCAAAGCTATTCTTGCCAGGACTGATGGGGAGAGGGGCAGGTTTGATGGGGACGAGTTTCCGTGGCGTGGGCTGGGGGGGAGCAGGAGGCGTCACCGCAGCTTCAACAGCTGGAGGGCCAATTTTGCTACATGTTGCAGCAAGCAGGGCTAGAGGAGATGGCTGGGAATCCTGCGAGAGAACAGGCGGAGAGAAAGTGAGGTGTCAACCCACTGCCCAGCCACCCTCTGCCCTTCGTGGCCCCTGGCAGGCTCTTCGCCACCTTGGTAGACAGGGTGCCAGCATCTTCCCCCTCCCTGCTGGCTCTGCTTTCTCTCAGGGAGAAAGAATGGGCAATGCCTTCCTCAGGAAGTAACTCTCCAGAAGCCCCATAGCAGGGTAAACTAACACCCTTACTTCCCACTATCCTTGTTTCTCAGGGCTCACGGAGCCATCCTCAGCTCTTAGACAGAAGTCCATGGACCCATCACAGGGTGAAGGGGACCCTGATTCCTCAACTGAGGAAGGGCTGAGGAAGGGAGGGAGGGAAAGAAGAAGGGAGGGCCAACAGGAAGAATAAACACTCTGGTAAAGTGGGGAGGGCTGTTCTTTTGAGGCTACAGGGACAGAGCCTCTGTGTAGGGACACAGCCTCTGTTTCCCTTTTATGGTCAGGGGGTCTGGTGGAAGGGACCTTGAGTTTAACCCTGCTTTTCCCTCGGCTCAACTGTGCCATCTTAGGTAAGCAGCCCTGGCTTCTTAGTTCAGAGAAAGCGGACAACCGAACCTTCCCGGGTCTCATATCCTAGCCAGTACAGAGCTTTTGGCTGTGGTTTAATGTCGGCTTCCGGGAGTGCTTCCAGGCCGATGCAGCCCCAACCCTCAGAAGCCACTGCCCACTCACCTGGGTGGTGGAGGCGGCGGGCTGCAGGTAGTCACTGGGACTGACAGCGGCAGTGGCAGCCATGCTGGTCTGTGGACCTGCTGGAAGGGAAGAGACAGAACAATGCACAAGATGCTGGAACAGAACCCAAGCCCACTGGCTCAGACACTCTTTTCGCCTCTTTGCTGCTGCTTCTCCAAGAGATGTTAACCTTTCCTCACATCTCCCCATTCAAGATTAGCAACCCTATACCTTTCTTTAAAAAAAAAAAAAAAAAA